ATCAAATACTGTACCAAAAATATAAAATGAATTGGTGATTTTATCAAATAGGCCCTATGTGTGTGAAAACTAAAGTTTTGTTTATGGTCCAATACTCAATAGTTAAATAATTAAACGATATCTTTGCAGTCATTTTTATTGGGGCATTATCCGCATCTCGGACACTTCGTGAGCGAAAATATATTTTAACTGACGGGACTCAACATTTTCTCACCCCGGGCCCCATGACTCGTCGTTACGTAACACTGGGAGATCTCTCGCATATTATACGATCAAATCTTGAAGACGATAGCTGGAACCACACGTTACGGCGAAAGCATGGATCTTCGCACATTGCTGATGAAATCAAATTGAAAGCAAGACGAAACAGTAAGTAGCCATTGTTTGTTTTTTTTATATAGCGGAAACCAGTTGAAATTGTTTACACTTTTGGCCGTATTCGACTAGTCGTTCTTCGATAAACCACACCCACATGTGCAGCGGTAAAATCCTACTTAACGAAGACGACCAGTCGAATATAAAATTTGTAAATACAAAACAAAATGGCTGCATAGTTACCGCGATACACGCTGTGTAAGCAAGATTGCTTCAGCTTGCGGCAGTATGCTTTTTTTTTAGTAAAAAATATTTTCATCCATTTTTAAAATTCCGTTGGCCTACAATTATTTTTTGACTTCATGTCGGTAAATATTATAATTTTTATTTTCTGAAATTTAATCTAAATTATATTAACACAAATATTGTTTCTAAACTCACCAGTCGGTCATGTTTGTTTTCTTCACGTTAACGCACTCTGGTTTACGTTAATTCTCGTTGTCAACGAAGGTCTATTTACGAACCAGTCGAATGAAAATAATACTCAACGAAAATTCGTAGTCAACGAAATGAACTAGTCGAATACGCCCATTATCTTAATATTACTTTTCGAAAGCAATCATTAAAACTAAGTTCCGAGGCAACGACGGTGATTGGCCTATAATGAAGTAGGCCTATAATGTTGGCCTCACAGGTGATTGCTTGGTCTTTCTTAACATTCAAACCACCAATCATTTTGATCATGTGACATTTAAATGGATTTTATAATTACACTCAGAAAGCATAGAATGTAACCACATCTTAATTTCATATTGTTCTTCAGGTCTAGGCCCATAAGCTGTACAGCCATGTATGTGAGCTGGTTTTTCTTCGTTGTTTCGTTGTCTTTGGCATCTAGTAGTATTACAGCATGCAAAGAAGCTCAGAGCAAGTAAGTGTTTATAGATGATAAACAAGTGAATAGGCCTAAATTATTAGTTAAGACAATCTATACTGATTACTGCAATTTATATTTCTCGAGATCCGCTTACCACTGGTACATTTTAGTGCGAATTTTAATGAACGAAAACTACAAATGAACGCAACACTGACTAAAATGGATGGATGTACATGTATACGCCTGCGATGATTTTTAGTTTTCTTTGACATTGTCCATCACGCGCAACAAGAAACAATCTTACAACATACGCTGATTTTGACTAGATAGAGCACAGTAAGTCCGGTAAAGTCATCGATTTTTAAAATTATAATCCGAATTTTTAGTTAAACTTGTATAAAATGATCTTGACCTTGTAGTAACATGCACGCGCGCAATAAAAGAAAATCTCACAACATACGTCTATTTGGGACTATCAATACAACACCACCTAGTTTTAAAATTATAATCAAAACTTGTGGCCTTGACATTGTACCATGCACGCGCGCAACGGGAAACAATCTCACAACACATATGATAAGGGATTACATAGAACCGCCGTAAGCAACTGCGTTTTAAAATTATAAACGCCATAATAGTAGCACTTGTATTTAACCTTGACCTGCGTGTGCGCAACAAAAGTCAATTTCACAACATTGTTGATTTTGGACTACGTAGGTGTACTGTCGCACTTTGTAATAATCGTCGCACTTTGTAATACCTGTCACACTTTGTAATAACCTGTCGCACTTTGTAATAACTGTTTTCGCACTTTGTAACAATCAAGCTGTCGCACTTGGTAATAACCAATGTCACACTTCGTAATAACTGAGCTGTCGCACTTTGTAATAAAGTCTGTCGCACTTTGTAATAACTTGTTTCATTTAATTATGTTATATCTTTTAATGAATAAAACAAATATTGTTGAACGTTACATATTATGGAAGACATACTACAAGGTCAACGTCATACACAAGTTTTACTGATAATTTGGATTGAAATTATTTTCAAACTCAGTGCCTTACTGCGTTGTATGAAATCCCAACTCAACAAATGTGAGATTATTTTCTTATGCGCGTGCGTGATACTACAAGTTAAAGGTCATATACTAGTTTTACTAATAATTTGGATTATAATTATGGTATTATATTGCTATATTGCTGTTTATCAATTATTTATCTATTTGTTTGTATATATAGGCCTATATATATATATACATAGACCCTATATATAATCCTTCCTCTTCAAATAGTTCAACTTCTTTTTTAACAGCCTCCAGCGCCGGTGACAAGTTAGGCCTGTCTCTTATACACATCTAGATGTGTATAAGAGACAGATATATATGTATGTATATACCTATATATATAGGCCTATGTATAATAATAATAATAATAATAATAATAATAATAATTATAAGATTTATAAAGCGCACATCTCCACCAAGTGCTCAAGGCGCAGTGTCAATTACACCACAAAATCCATATAATTCCCAGAAGAATTTCAAGCAAAATCCATATACCAATTATCCCATCGAGGCATTGTTACTCCCCATATAGGCTTAAGTATGCGCAGATACTCAAAGGCAGTACGGTATGTTGAGCATCAGCACCTTCCTCCCCAGGATAAGCAGTTCAAAAGGAGCAACATTGCGTCGACAGAGAAAAGTGGTATCATGTTTTTTATTTATTATTTTTTTTTTGTAAATAATATAAATTCAACAGAGAAACATCAAGGTTTTCTATAGGCCTCGGTGAAAATCCAAATTAATTCCCAGAAAAATTTCGAGCAGAATCCGTATACCGATTACGGTATCCCTCGAGGCAGTGTTGCTCCCTATATATCCGCAGAATGTGGTTCCTAGTGTCATTTCGCGAGATAGGCTTGCCCAAAGCAATTTTATTGCATTTTCCGGATATTTTGGGTATGCTGAATCCAAAAAAGCAAGGGTCCATTTTTTTCGATAACGTCTTGGCCGCCATATTGGAATTTCAAAATGGCTGCCATTTATAATAATAAATAAAAATGACTATAACTCTACTATTAAAGCAGATATTGACATAATTTCAAGTGCTAACCATATGGTTTAAATGTCAAACTATTTGATTTTAATATTGTCATAGACCATAGATGGCGGCCATTTTGAATTTCAAGATGGCCGACCGTTTTTCAACAAAATCTTTCTGGAAAACAGGTATTTCAATTATGGTTTTTACAACAATATAAATTACACTGCGAATCCATTTTATGCTTTAGGGTATGTTTAAAATAAATAAATATAAAAAAATTCAGGAAGAAATCACAAACCTTACAGAAAGGCGGTATATCAACAAATGAACTATAAAATATACACAAATACATATACATGTGACTTAAATTTGCCTGTACAGTATACCCGATAATACACGCAGGGCATGTATGGGTGATTCCATTTATCCTTGAGGGGTAAGTTTAAAATATATAAATATATGCATGATAACACACAATTAGGCGTCCAGGATGAGTTTAACCGCCACCAATGTAGAAACAGCGTCTTTGTTACTGGGTACACACAGGCACCCTGTTAGGCAGTATGTTCCACCTCAGGATATACCTTATGTGGCTGCACTACTGTGCACTGCAAAGAGAACGGTGTCGATTAAAGTATACAAACAAGGAATGAGGGATTTTAAATGGAAGTGTAGTAAACGAGTATCATTATTGTATAACAGAAGGGAAAACCAACGGCGGCGGAACGTTTTTGAAAGTTGGGTGTTTTTGAAAGTGAGGAGAGGGGGAATTTCATAAGGCCGAGTATGCGAGAATCTAGGCTGGGGCCAGGGGGCCGCCAAGGGCCCTCGGTGGGGGTCCAGGGGGCGAAGGCCCCTGGAAGCTACGGATATTTTACGAAGTTTGGTGAATTTTATAAGTATTTTATAGGCATCCAGCTACTGTAATATGATTTCATATTTGTTGTATTTCCATTGGCGGATCTAGGAATTCAAAATAGAAGGGTCCAGGGAGGGTAATTTCACCGATAGAAGATCTATACTACCTCAGCCCCACCATGGTTGGAGCTGAGATAAAATTTGTGATTATGGCACCTCTAGATGGCCGGAAATTGCACTTCCAGACATAAAATTTGAATATAATTATCTTTATATCTCCATTAAAAAAAATATTGAACAATTTAGCCTCCCCCTCCTCTTGAATGCGCCACAGATTTCCGAACAAAGTCGAAGTCGAGATTGCTTCCGCGACCTCAATAAATTATTTATTATGAGGGTTATCCTTAATATGGGTTCCCCGACAGAAACTTCACTTTTCTCCCGACGGAAAATTCACTTTTCCCCCGATGGATAAAAGTTACCCTTGTATGTAGCTCAGAAATGATACTCCAACTGTGGCGGGTCCAGGAAGTCGAAATAGAGGTGTTCCAAGGAGAGTCTTGCGTAAATAAATAATCTCCACCCGCCTCTGCCCCACAACTGTTGGAAAATTATGATTATGGCACGGAAATGACACTCTCAGATTAAAAGTTGAATACAATTTTGTCTTTTTTCTCCATTTTTTTTTATAATTTTGAAAAAAAAAATGGGATGGGTTCCAGTGATGACTGGGTTTCCCATTGAATCTGCCACTGTTCAATATAACACTTGACATAGCCTACCATTTTGTTTCACAAAATGATTAATTCCTAATGTCAAGCGAAAGATTTTTTTATTCAAAATATTTTCTTTTTACTCAATACAGTTTTTACAACCTATAACACATTAACTACAGTGTACCGTACTGTAAATTCTGTACCGGTACTTAACCTTCAGACAACTTTATTTTAAAAAGTGGCCTAATAAGTATCTTAATGTTTTCGTTAAATTTAGACTAGGAAAAAAAATCAAAAAAGAGGCCTAAAAATCAAGTTAGGGGGAGTGGAATGTTAAAAGCAGTCAACATAGCCAGATATCCTAATTAATCCGTCCTGGTCACCCTAAGCCCTGTTGATACTTGATTTTTCACCTTGTATACAAATGGCGGCCATTTTGAAAAATGGTCGCCAAATTTATTTAAAATGTGCATATAATTGGAACTAAATAAGCTACAGATATTATGTTGGTGTCTAAACTCATAATTTCTATAGGCCCCTACAGGCAACAAACCAGACATATATATAAATAAGAATAAGTATATAAACTCACCAAAAGTAGTCGTGTTTGGTATCGTTGGAAAGCTCTTCCAATGATGAGAAATGTATTGCAGTTTACATATATCAGAAACGGTGTAGTGTTTCATATATTGTCCCATAAAATTCAATTATGGCATATCATATTAAAATAAACAGGACCATTTGCGCAACTTGTGAGCTCTCGGGGTGGGGGGGGGGCGCCCCCTCCCCCACCCT